ATCAGTCCAATTTAACTTTATGTCAGTACATAGTCTATCATTACTGTGGGCTTTGCTGCCTATCCATATGCACTTTGTTTTATCAATGTTGGGTTTTAAACCGGAGTATTTTGCATATTGGTCCAGCAAGTTAAGTGTTGATCTTAGCCCTTCTTCAGAGCCATCTAGGGTTATGCCTATGTCATCTGCATATTGGGAGAGCTTTGATTCTTTATTGTTCATATTGATTCCTTTGATTTTTTTGTTGTTTCTTATCATAATTCCTAGAATTTCTACACATAGTATAAATAGATATGGAGATATTGGATCGCCTTGTCTACATCCGCGCCCATTTTTAAAAAAGTCGGAGAATATTCCATTTTGAATAACACATAGCTTTGCGTTTTTTATTAATGTATTTATCATACTTATGTATTTTTCTCCAAAATTGAAAAAGTGTAATACTTTATTTATAAAACTCCACGCTATCGAGTCAAATGCTTTTTCGAAATCGATTAGTACAAGTATTCCTTGGATTTTTTTTTCTTCTGCGTATTGTATAGTGTCGTAAATTTGTCTTATATTTTCCCTATAAACCTTCCTTTTATAAAGCCTTTCTGATTTTCATGAATTATGTCATTAATAACTTCTTTGATGCGTTGAGCTAGGCAATTTGATAAGATTTTGTAGGACAGATTTAGTAGTGATATTGGTCTCCAGTTTTTTAGATGTTCCCTGGGTTTATTTCCTTTTGGAAAAATAGTTATTACTCCTTGAGTTTGTGTTATTGAGAGTTCTCCACTTTCTATGCCTGCATTTAATGATTTCAAAAGATAGAATTTTATATCGGTCCAGAAAAACTTGTAAAATTCTGCTGTAAATCCGTCATTCATTCTGAAGTTAGCATCCATACAATTTATTTGTTATATGGAAGTCTATTTCAGTAACATAAAGAAATATTGACATTCAACTTCCTTCTACCTAAAGCAATAATGGTTTTATTCTGGAGCATCATGTGTGATGCATTCTAAAGACAAGAAAATTGTATAATAAGTACAGTGACATTGACAAATCCTGTCCATAATAAATAGTGGTCTTCTTCCCTTGGGCAACCCACATACCAAGTTTGAGCTTTGTGTAATCTACATAGTTGATTTATCCCCAATTATTTTACAGAGGGATGATAGAAAACTGATTTTATATTTGTTTTTAATCTTGCTCCTTAACTGTAATCAATGTTGGAAAGTGAGGGTGATTTAGTACAATGAAATGTTCAGTAAAGACCTATCAAGGTACTTACGGAATCCTTGGTGCACTCAACGATGACAGTCTTGTTACCTAGTTGTTGCATCAGGACTAACTGTATCTGGTCCAGCTGTTTGTAGGAAATAGGCAACATCTTCAGTTTAACATTTTCACTTCAGTTACAATAAATACCGGTAACCATAAAACTTTACAATAGAATTCTTTTCTCAATTTCAACTTCAATTGCAATCACAAAGACCTCTATGTTTATATATATTTGGTCCTAAGAATGGGTGGATGTAGATGTTACTAAATTCAAGTCCTGCTGGTAACGGTTATAGAGAGGATTTAATTACCGTAGATCCAATCCCCTAAGTGGTGATTATTATAGAGGTTATCAATTCAATGCTTTTTACAAAGTTCTTTATGGAATCCATTTGTTCCTCTACACCCTTAGGAATGATGGGGGGGGGAGGGGGGGGGTTGCACAATATAAATCTTCTTGGTCCGAGGATGTATCTCCAATAAATTAACTCCCTTTTTTCATACTGTTGAAGTAGTATCCAAATCACGTACTCCTGTTTTCCCCACTGAACAGTGTCTCTCTGACCCAATATAAATCTTCTTGGTCCGAGGATGTATCTCCAATAAATTAACTCCCTTTTTTCATACTGTTGAAGTAGTATCCAAATCACGTACTCCTGTTTTCCCCACTGAACAGTGTCTCTCTGACCCAATATAAATCTTCTTGGTCCGAGGATGTATCTCCAATAAATTAACTCCCTTTTTTCATACTGTTGAAGTAGTATCCAAATCACGTACTCCTGTTTTCCCCACTGAACAGTGTCTCTCTGACCCAATATAAATCTTCTTGGTCCGAGGATGTATCTCCAATAAATTAACTCCCTTTTTTCATACTGTTGAAGTAGTATCCAAATCACGTACTCCTGTTTTCCCCACTGAACAGTGTCTCTCTGACCCCTGGTCTCCACTTCTTCTTTTATACCAAATTAAGTCCCTTTGGTCCATGAAACTTTCGAAACAAGTAAATTTTAAATGCCTTCACCCATTCTGTAAGAGTGGGATTCTTAAGCTTTGCCCTGCCATGCCATACTCTTCTGTCCTAATGGAGGCCACATCCTTCCTTTATACCCTTTGTTTAAACAAAATAATATCCTCTTGGACTAGGAAACTCGACACTTAATGTGATCTGAATTCATGTAGCCGACCTAAACTAACTGTCTTTTAAATGAAAAGATGACAGAAGGTTAATGTTGGACGATGTCTGCCATGCTACAGGAGCAGGAGCTCACTTGTCCTTTGAGCAAAAAGCTAATATTATCATCATCAGAATTGGATCTTTAAATATCAAACCAAAATAGACATACTTACTCTGTAGTGTGCTGTCTTACTTGGTATGATGCCCATATTCCCTAATAACCTGAGGAAAAAATATCCTTCCATTTATTTCCATTGTGTATGGGACATGTTTTAACAAAAAAGATGTATTTGTCAATATCCCCTGTTTCCTCCTATTTAAGTGTTCACTTATTATTTTGGTGCTTGTTTTAAAGTTAACCTCAAAAATAATCAATTTAAAAAAATGATATAGCAAAAGGCATCCCTCTGAATAGGGATTGACTTTAACATGTGGAAACTTTAAGCATCAAATCTGTCATATTTTTGAGAGATGCCTTGGAAATGCAAAAATGCACCAAAACGTACACTTTTTGGGCATATTTTCTTGTGAACTCATAAGTTTTAGATCGAAGAGGTCAAAATTTGAACGACACCTCTTTTCCATGTGAATGACATATGTATGAACATTGAAGATCATTTTTGTTTTAGATACATTTTGTACATGTTTGCACCTTACACACTAATATGAACAAAAATATTCAAATTTTGGCCATTGTTTTCACGACAACTAGAAACTTCTTGCAATCAGATGCTTACAAGGCATTGGTATGATCTACCCCTGAAAGTCAGTTTCATGTAGCAATTGATTTTGACAGACAGTTGTTTGACCAAGTCAATGAAGTTCAAGACATCACTTGATACTGACTTACGTGGTTGCGCTAAACTTTTTCATGAGTTGCAGGCTTTGTTTGAAATACAGGTACTCGTTGGCAGTGGCAGGGAGGGTGGTAGCACAACGGCCATGTTTATCCCACTCATGTTTCCTGTAATAGCCGAAACAAGGATAATTTTATATCTGATATTTGATCAAGATGCTTTCTGTAAATTGTAACTACATAATAAAGAACTCTTATTATTTTTTTACCTCCTGGGAACGATTATTTTGATGGACATTAAATATATTATACTTCAGCCACTGATTTTTTGGGGTTTCCTGGGATTTCTAATTAACCCCGTTCTCAACAGTCACAGGGTTAACCTCTCTTCTCTGCATCCCTGAAATATGTCATGGCAAAACTAAAGGCCCACAGTTAGCAATTTGATTGGTTTCATGTAAAAACAAGCCATTCGGATTAACATGTCTTGTCTGTGCCCGGCTTTGACCATCAATGCACATATCAGAGTCGGTGTTCTCCCCAGGCTGTTTTTGCAGCATGGCACCATGCTCCGCCGTCACCAGAAAAGCAACACCTACACTTCGTGGCGGCCAGACAATAATGACCAATCATTTGGAGGATACCTGTCATTTGAAGATTACAAATGAGCAACATCCCACTTCAAATGCAGTCAATGTTAATGCTATGCAAATGTGGAATTCCTTTGATATCAAAGGATCAAACTAATTGTTTCACGCACTAGGTAACTCACAATTCTTCAATTTTGTCCTGACACATTCTAGGGATGCAAAACCAGAGTGTAATCCATAGAATTTTGAGGATGAATAAACCCATTTTACTGAAAAGCAATTTCTTATAATTTTTCTGAAAGTATAACTTTAGACAACTAACAGTTATTTCAACCCCGGAATCAGTCAACATTCGAAATAATTATTGCAAGATATTTAACAAATGAGAATATCGCATACAGAGGTAAATCGAAAATTTGTTACACACCAGAAATTGGTCATACTGGTATCAGCATAAATGTTGGGCCACAAAAGTTGTAGTTCTTCCACCAATGGCTGAAAGATGAAAAAATACAAGAATGCAACAATGTCACCTGCTATTTGGTTACATAAACGATGTGTTTTCCCAGTAATATACAAAAAAATCCAGACAAGCCAATCATAAAAGGGCTGCATGAGTGTGTCTGGAAAATGCAGATTATCTCTATGTGATCATAGAGCAGTAATAAAAATTTGAAAGTAATGTGTTCAGAAATGTTAACTCAAGTAAAAATATCAGGAACAAACTCCACAATATCAGATGACATTGTTTAACCTATTCCTGTCTTTTATTAAGTCATTTAATCAATATTATTGCAAATATGCAGTTATGGCAACATCAAATGATAAACCATTCATCAAGTTTAAGTTACAAATTATAAATATAAGCACCCTTCACAAGGTGTAGCAACAGCAATTACCAATATGACATGGTCATCCTGATTACTACTTTTGAGGAACATTTTTCTTGTTCAGAAATTGAATATATAACCCTTAACATATACATGTATTTAAACCCCTATATTTCCCCATTAACATAACATTTTCTGTAGTTTTCGGGGAAATGTCTGTATATTATTTTGTCCAACCACGAGGTACACAGCAGCTAAATTGTTAGCTTACCATACACGTTCACCTTACTCATTTAGCTTACCAGGATAAATAGTAATTCAACACCCTCAATATCCTGTAGTATACAAGGACAAGTTTGTATGCCCTAAATCTCCTGTAGTATACAAGGACAGGTTTGTATGCCCTAAATCTCATGTAGTATACAAGGACAGGTTTGTATGCCCTAAATCCCCTGTAGTATACAAGGACAGGTTTGTATGCCCTAAATCCCCTGTAGTATACAAGGACAGGTCTGTATGCCCTAAATCTCCTGTAGTATACAAGGGCAGGTTTGTATGCCCTAAATCCCCTGTAGTATACAAGGACAGGTCTGTATGCCCTAAATCTCCTGTAGTATACAAGGGCAGGTTTGTTTGCCCTAAATCTCCTGTAGTATACAAGGACAGGTTTGCTTGCCCTAAATCTCCTGTAGTATACAAGGACAGGTTGGTTTGCCCTAAATCTCCTGTAGTATACAAGGACAGGTTGGTTTGCCCTAAATCTCCTGTAGTATACAAGGACAAGTCTGCATGCCCTAAATCTCCTGTAGTATACAAGGACAGGTTAGTATGCGCTAAATCTCCTGTAGTATACAAGGACAGGTTTGCTTGCCCTAAATCTCCTGTAGTATACAAGGACAGGTTTGTATGCCCTACATCTCCTGTAGTATACAAGGACAAGTTTGTATGCGCTAAATATCCTGTAGTATACAAGGACAAGTCTGTATGCCCTAAATCCCCTGTAGTATACATGGACAAGTCTGTATGCCCTAAATCTCCTGTAGTATACAGGGACAAGTCTGTATGCCCTAAATCTCCTGTAGTATACAAGGGCAGGTTTGTATGCCCTAAATCTCCTGTAGTATACATGAACAAGTTTATATGCCCTAAATCTCCTGTAGTATACAAGGACAGGTTTCTATGCGCTAAATCTCCTGTAGTATACAAGGACAGGTTTGCATGCCCTAAATCTCCTGTAGTATACAAGGACAGGTTGGTTTGCCCTAAATCTCCTGTAGTATACAAGGACAAGTTTGTATGCCCTATTATCCCCTGTATCATACCAGAACAAATATGTATGCCCTAAATCTTCTGTTTCAACTCATAGGTAGCTCTTAGTTACCTTTATCATGGCAAAGTTGAACTCCTTGGATATGTTACATCCTATTGGTCCCTTTGTATGTCCATTTGTTGGCCTGTAAAGGTCATGTTAATACATCATATTTTTCTTGTACTTGAAAATCTTGGATTTTTTTCTTATCTTTTTTTTATAAGACTCTTAAAGAGTGACCTTCACATTCAACTTTTTACCACCAGAATGTTTCCAAACAAGACGTTTAATTACGATACGCCTATATAAGTTAGAGTGACCTTCACCTTTGCGTTTTTTATCAGCAAAATAATTCCAAATAAGAAGTTTAATTATGATAGCCCTACAGTATGCAGTATTGCCAATATCTGTTACTGTGTAGTTTTCATTGTGAAGTGTGTGGTTAAAAACAAGACAATCAATTATATTGTACCATGATTTCGCATAAATGCAGTTATATACAATATATATATACATGATGTCTTAAAATATAGACTTTATACAACACAACTAAATGAACTTATTTCTAACTACTGTTTCTCTTCTGAATAGTAATGAAAAGTACCATGATGTAAACAATATTTATACATGAATACAATGTTAAATATCTTTAGTGCATTATTTACCAGTCCATATATATAGAAAAGTTACATCATTAATAAAATCACTAAATTTTCGAATACATTCCTTTTCCATTACATTATCGTGTTCTGCTATTTTCTGACAGGAGATGCCAACAAAATTGTTATCAATTACTTAGGTTTGTTAATAACTTAATGTTTGAACAAAAGATGAACAAAGCAACCACTTGTTCTTCCGTTGCTTCATCTACAGCTTAAAAGAATATCTGTGGCAGTAAACAGAAGCTAGAGTTGTCGTCAGAATGGCAGACTTGTACCCTTGTCTGCACCAAGAATTGTAGGAATAGCTCTTTTGAGAATGTTTTTAGATAATCCATGGTACCCCAACCATAATGATTTCTTTATTTGCCAAGCTGTATACCTATCTCAGGATAAAGGTCAAAGTGACATACTTCTTAAAATTGCTGTTGTAAGTATTCACTGCAAAGGGTTTTATCACACTGATAATTTCTGATATTTCACTGATCTGTAAAGGATACTCACCATAGTCCATGTATACCCCAGCTATTAACCTGAGCGGGAATAAGGCACTTGTGTCCCTGAAATAAGACAAAAAGTTTTTTTAAACTTCATTGTACATTTAATCTTCTGATCTTCTGGATAGTCAAATCAGTATTTCTTCAATCAGTCCCCGGCCCCCTAATCCCTGTATAAAAGGATTCCTCATCAGGAGGAAGCTGTTTACAGGGATTTATTATCAAACATTCAACTCTTCAACCTACATACAGTCAACTATATCTACAACATTCAATAATTCTATAGTATATAACAGTCAACTTACTGTTTCATTGGCTTTCTCACACACTGCTATCGGCCATTCTTGGGCGAAGATGAACCGGTCCCAGGTGTCACTTTTACAGGTAATCAGACTGTGAAGAGCAGAACACAATATCATTATCTGGAGCTTAGTGCTGCTTTGTATCATTGCCATTATTACAAATACATTTTTAACAAGCATTCTGTAGGTATTGATGAATCAGTACATGTCCCCCCCCCCCTAAACTTTAACCTGCAGATTTTGGCCAAGATAGTTTAGTCCAAAACATGTCAAAAATTCAAAAACAAAATTATATTTCCACTTTCATTAGTAATGCTAGACCCCTAAAGAACATGTGTACATAAAATCAGCATCCTAACACTATTATCGTGTGAACGACGAGACATTACAAAACTTTAACCTGCAGATTCTGAGGGTATTGATGAATCAGTACATATGTCACCCACCGCCCCTTTTAACCTGCACATTTTGGCCAAGATAGTTAAGTGGAAAACATGTTGAAAATTGAAAAAAAAAATCCTCCGGTTTCACTGGGACTTAAAAAAAGTTTCTCAGTCAAATATTTAAAACACTGTTTAGAACTAGAGAAACTGTGACCAAAACTACAAACATAAACGCCCACTTCATCTTATGGAGGTATTCAAACTTTGTTTGCAAGAGGTATAATAATCGAATCACAAATGCCTTCTTCATGCACAGCTACATATAACATACTTTCACTGCGCCAAGTAACAAATAAATCTAACAGTGAAGGAGGTGTTGGAACTTGCATTTACAAGGTTTCTGGAAATTTGAAGTTTCAAGGGTCACAACTCCAGGAAAAAAAAGTAAAATTGCAAATTCCTTTCTTCATGCACATCTACATATGATGTTATTTTACTTCGTCAAGTTATAGAAAACTCCAACATATGATTATAGAGGAAGAGAAATGTACAGCCAGACTGGGATTCCAAACCTGGGAACCGGGACCCCCAAACTATAGACAGACGCTCTACCAATATGTGCTACCTGGTCACTGATGATTAACCTAGTCCAGTTTGCTACATGTATATATTGATAACAAAAAAGTAACACAATATATCCATTTACTCTTAATCATTTAACGTGACTGTGGGGTCCACAAATAATATACATGTTATTTAATAGCGTAATAAACGTGCACAATCATTACAGCTGTACAGTATACATGTATCAATGTTCAGGTGCTTGTTCCAGTACTTACCTAATACAATCAATCAAAGTTACCACTAATACCAAAATAACGCAATGTGACACCATGTCTGTACTGCCAACTTTGTTGTGAAAATCTGGAAAATAAATGGACAATCACTTTAGGTTAAACACTACAAACTTTGCTAAAGACTTCTTAATTCAGCGTTATTTTATATATCCAGATGGATCACAAGCAAGCACAAGTGTATATATATACACTAGTACTATGTTCACAAAAAACTTTACTAAAGTACATGTTTTAAACTTCCTGATTTAGACAAGGAACAAATTGTCTCATTAACTTCTTCCTTAAGATAAAAATATCTAGACCCCCTTAATACACTGATAGGATTTCATACCATGTGTGTTAGGGAAAGTGAGGACACGCGACAAGTATTAATGATAGGGACTTAAATAACATGAGACATTTGAAAAGTGTTCAGATCAATCTGAATAAGTACATAGAGGTAATTAGAAATTCATGAAAGGCACTTACAAGATTTATTATTAATAAGGGGTAAATAAAAACACCAACATAATGGATGCTTAATCTAACATATACAGCTCTATGTGAACATACTTTGTTGAAGCTGTGTGATACCTTATTGCAATGAAACAAAACTTTCAGGGTTAAGGTCTGTCTGAGGGACTATTCAGGAAATATAGCTACATGTTTAATTTCCCTACTGATCCCAGGAAGTACTACTTCATATTGCCAATCCTAATAAATGGCATCGGTCATGGATGCAGATCTATGGTTTAACCATATATGCGGTCCATAAAGATGGTGTTAGCTCTACCACTGTGGAAATTATAAAGGGCTCACAACCCTGATTTTAACAATCAATATAAAAATTTACATATTTTTTCATACTTGCCAATCTTCCCTATTTAGGAGGGAGACTCCCAATTTTGGACCCTTTAACTGTTCCTATATTCTAAGATCTAATGATTTCATCTGAAAGAGCAACTCAAAATCTGTCATTTTAAATGGTTATTTTGTCTCTAGGGTGTGTATACAGCCATTTTATTTATGTTTTAATTTTGAGCATGCACAATCTCCCACATGGAAATTTCAAAAGGTTAGCAAGTGTGTATTTTTACTATAAGTAAATCAATATGTATAAACAATTTGGATATGAAAACAAGCAAGCAGATTTCTGTAATGTTTGATCATGATAGAATCTTTGAACTTGTAAACATTTCCTAAAACATTTTATGATTTTGTTTTACACAATTTATCGGGTACCTTCAGTCCAAATTTCGTTTTGATTTCTAAAAGCTGCCATATTATTCCGGGTAGACATTATAGCTCTTCCTGGAATTTGTGACAATTTTTCTTATCAGGGCAATACCAGGTTATCATTGAGAGATTTTCATGTGACATATCAGCATAACAAGAGGCACTTGAGGGCTCTATCACTCACCTGTTTATCTAGTTGTTATCTGAACTTGAAAAGAAACTGAAAATGTTTCCGCAAATTTAAGACCATGGTGACCATATCAGATTTCATACTGACCCTAATGATCATTTAATAACAACACTTTTTCAGGTCAATAATGTATAAATTTTGGTTGGAACTGACCAGATAGAACTAGTCAATTAGACAGAAATATGTCAGACAACGGCATACATTTCCACTGAATAAATCACAACTGAGCACAAAGCCAACAAGCTTTTGAGGTTGGAAAAAACCATGCAAAACAAGTGAGATTTTATCTGTACATCATTCAAGACACTACAGGTTTTCACTCAGGTAATCTGGCTTGACTTGTATCAACAGCCTTGTTAGCTTCATAAATTATTGTAAAATATCCAATGAAGATACATGCCATCATTCTTGAGATTTGAACCTTTTTCACATTTTTCTCGATAATAGTGAATACACAGATACTTCAGGTATGCATGTGCAGGTAAGTTTTGTCATGAATTATATACTATACAATGCAATTTTGCGCCACTCAAATTCTGCATTCAAAAGTTACTTTTCAGACAAAATCAACAATATTTTCGACAAAGTCAAAGGATTTCGGCAAAGGTAATTATTGACATTGCTCTTGAGATGGGTATACCAAGAAACTTCCATATTTTTTTCATTTTGAGGAAAAGCCCATCACATACTAAATACATTGACATGAGCCTGTATGAAATGTATTACTGCATATTGATGTAGTTATATAATCCATGTAGCAATGACCACTAAGCTGATGCAAATTTTGTTAAAACTATTCTTAGCATAATAAATGGATGATCACAAAATGAAAAAACTGCTTTAATAGATATAAGCAGCGAAGCATTATATCTTTTTAGTTGATTCGAGTTGTCTTTCTTTGAACTCTGAATCAAATTCGATGATGCAAGTATAACTGATTTTGAAAAGAAATATGCATAGGCCTACACATAAAAGAAAACAAGTTACATAAATTAAGATAATGTTTTCTCTAAATCCACCCCACTCAGAATATAAAAGCATGCGCCTTTGGTTAACAGGTTAACTAGGTAACACCAGCTGTTCACAATACATTTTCTGAATGTACGTTTAGTTGGTGTTATTTCATAAAAAGTTACACTCGCACTCGCAGCATTCAGACCACAGGGGCTTGTATAGACTTATATGATAAAATAAGCTAGAAATACATATATATATTTCTAGCTAATTTGATCATAAGTCTATTATACAAACCCCTGTGTTCAGATGGTTTAAACAGGTTGGGCACAACGGCGCATATGGGTAATAATCCTGCATTTGGGTAACAGTTACCCATTTGAGTATATGTAACGTCAGTGAAGGCAAATTCGTCACATTAGTAAGGGTTTCTGTTAATAATTCGACCAAATAGGCATGTATCAAAATGCTGACGAGCACCAATACGTACAGAAGAAGATTCAACTAAAATACCTATAAATAAACATTGTTGTAAACACGCCTGAATGACGTCACGCAGCAACATTAGTGACGTCATCAGGCCTTCTGTGGTTTTGCTCAAAGGTGCAGGCAGTTTCGCCACCTTCAAACATTTAACTAATTTACAAGTAATCTAAGTGTTTAAATGTAAAATTTTGTATGTTTATGTTACACAAGCCGTACTGATACGAACAGCTCCAAATGTGTGTGTGTAACAATGATTAACATTGAAATACATGGCTTTTCTTAGTTGTGATAGTTAGTTTTCGGTAACTTGAAGAAACTGATTAATGTTGTTTGAGAATGATGACGGGTATCTGCTGAGATGATGTCAACTTACATGATACGCAATAAAGACTCAGTCCTTAACAAATATAAACTTCCAAATCACTGCCCAATATTGTATTTTTCATCGGGTCCAGGGCTTTCAACGATGCCCGCAACCCCCCCCCCACCCCCAACTTTTTGAATAAATTGTCACATGTACGTCTCCGATAGTCTTGCACGTCAACGGGAAATATCTGACAAATAAAAGCGATTTTCTTGGGCTTGAAAACATATTCAACAAAATGTGCTTACTTCATCATGTAAAAATCAGTCTTTGGTAACTGTCGGTCTCTACGTACAATCAGCATGCGATTGTACAGCAGTACTTTCAGGCCGACAACAAATTCCTTTCAGATATAAATCTAGAAAATTTCTAGATGGTATTTTAATTTAAGTGTTGTAAGATTGTTCAACTTAAGATGTAAACACTACTTTTAAAAAGATACTGGTTGATTGTATTCTAAATACACATTGCATGAAAATGGAAACTGACGAATTATCAAATCGTGGATCTTTCCGATCGTCATTTTCATAAACATGCATTGGATCGTCAGTACATTGAACATGTACCAAAGCACACTTGGAGAAAAACAATTTACATGCATTAAATGCAATTAGTGTTAAGATATAGGTATTTTCATGTGTATGTAATTAATTTACACTAAATAACAACCAACTGGCCTCAGATTAATGAGTTTAGTTGACGAGATGTCCATCGCACAGACCCAATTTTTAAGATTTGTTGTGTTACAAGATATTTCAAAACTGTTTTGATTAAAAGTATAGCTCTTCCCTTCTTATACCTCTTATTGTCAAATTATTTGAAGGCTTTAACTATGTTGAAACCTATGGTGACGTTATTTACGTCACATCTTATGTATTATGACATCATATGGCATTTTCGAGACAGGGTGGCGAATTTGGTGCATGGCGAATTTGCCTGCACTAACGTTACAATTTTATTACTGAAATGGGGAATAAAGTGAAATAAAAACACACAAAGTTCTTTTAAACACTTGGAGCAAAAAGGGCGTCATTCTGTCAACTAAATCAAATAAATAACACAATGAAGTACATTTATGCACAAAAAATTATCAATTCTGATGTCTAACTTTTTGTGAAAAGGGCAAACCATATCACTGACTTTGTTCTCCATTGACTTCAGTGTGTAGTCAATGGGATCCTCCAGTGCAAATGTGACAGCCAGGTGAGCATTATTTTTTATGTGTGTTATTTATAGCTATTCTACAACACACTATAAGCAATGGAGGTGATACAATTTGTCATTTTCACAAAAATTTAGACGACTGAATTTACATATTTTTGTACATCGTTGTATTTTTTATTTTATTATGTTGAAAGAATGACGCCCTTTTTTGTTCATGATGTGTAAAAGAACTTTGTTTGTTATTATTTCACTTTATTATCCATTTCAGTAATACAATTATTACTGAAATGGGTAGGCNGTAATTCAACTCCATTCCGGTCCATTTCGGTAAATACCCCAACCGGGCCTAACTGTTACCCGAATGCAGGATAATATACTCATATCATGATATGCACCGTTGTGACTAACCTGTTAAAAATATGTTTAGGATGAGCCTAATCAGCTAATAGCGTCTCAAAGTTAAAAAAACACTTGAAATACCTGGTTTCATGAAATAACAGACCTTACTCACACACTCTTCTTCTCTTTTGTTTCCAATGTCCGTGAGTTTATATCAGCTGATGATGACTGTTTGTTTTCATCACAAAGTGATGCATTCGAGTGAGAGTGATGACCGTAATGACACTAGCTCTGTCATGGTTTTGTAAGCGCTTGAAATCAACGTGCCACTACACTTCTGCACAACTTCTCTTATTAGCTCTAAAGAGCTATTCTTACCACAGAACATATCAAAATATCACAGTGGGCATAATGTAACAAAACATGCATTAAGAAACAAAAGCACAACTTTTTGAAATAAAAGTATCCAAACATCACAGGCAAATGCGTCAGGTCAGTAATCCGGCTATTCTCCCTTCCCTCTAGTTAGGGAAGGGAGAATCGCCGGATTACTGACCTGACGCATTTGCCTGTGCAAACATGCAGGAAGAAAACAGCACAAACAAAGATAAGACGATATTCATTAAAAACATAACACTAAGATACTGATTTGAATGTGACTGAGTAAAATATGTTTAGTTACAACACGGACTTAGAAAGCATATAAATCCGTGGTTACATTTTCTAAATAATGATCAAAAACTTAAATATATTATATAAAATAAGTGTAGATCTATGGGGCGCCGTTTTGGTATTTATTCACAAAATGCAGGGATGTGTACACATCCCTGCAAAATGTGATATCATTAAATCGATTTTAGGATATCATAAAATTCATTTTATAATAATACAAATTCGATTTTATGATATCATAAAATAATTAGTGATAACTGATATCCCAAAATAATTTATGATATCACAAAATAATGTATGATATCATAAACCAAAACGGCGCCCCATAGTTAAGATCCTGATTTCTTATGTAAAATTCAGTAAAATATTTTAGCTCAAATGACAGGTGATCGGTTGCTCTATATATTTTTGTTACATTTTTTTTAAAAGATATTTTTGCTCTCTTCCCGTTGGCCATAGAAGAGAGCAAACATATAAAAACATATATATATATATATAAAAATAGATAGAGCAACGGAGGGTGTTATCGACAGGGGGTATTATCGACCCCCGGCTCTATTCATCTCGTTTTGGATCGATTGAATTTTCAGACAATCGGTGATTTTGATAGGTACCCTCACCTTTTCGGAATCCCTCAGAACCGTTCCATTCAGACAATACCGGTTAAACAAAAAAAATATGAACTTATGCTTATGATATAATCAATAAGTTCAATAAGTTAAAGCTAGAATGAAGTACATATATAACACACAAATATAAACAAGGCAGTGCGTATCAGAGCACCTCAGCACGTATAAACAGGACAGGTGATTGGGCAACCCCTACCTAACAAGTCCTCTGATAACGAGCAAAAATTAAAAGCACATATAAAGCATACAGAAATTAAAGCTGATGAAAACATAATGAATTTAAACAGAAAACATTTAAAGCACATTTAAAACATAATAAAAATAAAACAGTGCACAGGACAAATCATTCAGCAGACAGTTTTTTCTCGCACCTCAGACAAAGATATCCCACGTCATACCCCATGCTAGATTAATAGAATCTTTCACCCCCTTGGGAGTGAGACAGGGTAATCTCAACCCGGCAAGCCTCGTGTTTGACAGCTTAATAATCTTACCCCGAGGGTTGAGATCACCCTGTCTCACTCCCAAGGGGGTGAATGATTATTTTTCTCTTACCCTGTTTACCCTCTTATGTATTTTATATAGACGTTACATCAATGCAAGCCAATGTTGATGTGATGCGGCTGAATTGACGACGTGACGTCATTGTATTGTTGCCGCGACGTCATGGTATTGTTGCTATGACGTCATACAATTGTTGAGAACGTGCAAAGAACACATGTAGCTTGTCTCAACCCTAGGGTGAGATTAATAGAATCTTTCACCCCCTTGGGGGTGAGACAGGGTTATCTTAACCCGAGGGGTAATATTCTTAAGTTGTCAAACACGAGGCTTGCCGAGTGTTTGACATCTTCAGAATATTACCCCGAGGGTTGAGATCACCCTGTCTCACTCCCAAGGGGGTGAATAATTATTTTTCTCTTACCCTGTTTACCTTCTTATGTATTTTATATAGACGTTACATCAATGCAAGACAATGTTGATGTGATGCGGCTGATTTGTCGACGTAACGTCATTGTATTGTTGCTGTGACATCATGGTTTTGTTACTATGACGTCATACAATTGTTGAGAACGTGCAAAGAACACGTGTAGCTTGTCTCAACCCTAGGGTGAGATTAATAGAATCTATCGCTACTGGTTATGTAAGATAGAGAAATCTCAACCCGAGGACTAAGATTTTTTGTCCAGAACGAGGCTTGGGTTCTGGACAAAAAATCTTAGTCCTCGGGTTGAGATTTCTCTATCTTACACAACCAGTAGCGATTGATTATTTTTCTCCCATATCTAACAGTATTTTAATGTGAAATAAAGGTAAACATGGACCCAAAACACATACAGGCAATTTGTTGATGGATTGTTGACGTGACGTCATTGTATTGTTGAAGTGACGTCATGCCATTGTTATGAATAGGGGAATCCCCCCGTCTCAACCCTAGGGCGGAGACAGATAAATCTAGCACCGGCAAAACGGGAGATAAATCTGTCAGGTGTGGGAGAAAAGAAAATCTCGCACCGGTAAAATGGTGGATATCCCTGTCCAGGGTAAGAGAAAAGAAAATCTCACACTGGTAAAATGGTGGATATCCCAGTCCAGGGTAAGATAATTTTCTATCTCGTCCGATCTGTCTTGTACCTTTACGTGACATTTCGCGTATTTTTTGCACTGCGATGTATTCACCCGCGCGTTAACTGATTGAAATTGACAATTGACAATTTGCAATATAAATGTTCTGTTTTGTCGTTATATGTATAGTTTTGATGTTGTTAGATATTTGATGTTGTAGATAAAATATAATCTACACTGTGAAATACGTTGTCATCTATGTAAAGACAGACTACATTTTTACCCGGAAGCGTTCAAATGTAGCTTAAGTAGTGAAGAGATCATTATCATTAGAAGCCCAAGGCGGGATACTTGTAGTTTTCAGCAAAATTGAATAGGTTTTTTTCGAACTAAAAGGTGCGAGAAAAAAAATCAATTACCTGTAACTGAGCAAGATTGGGTTATCTCAGTCTCGGGCAAAGATTCTGTAACATCCCAACAAGACAGTCGAGAGGATTATTGAACTGATGAAGTACAAAATGACGGGGGACTTTGTGGGAACCCCTCACCTTTACACCCCGCCTCCTTTTCCAGTCGGTGGAGCGGACTTGATGACATGCAATATAAAAAGGGGACCACACATGCAACTCATGTTAAAAGAACTCAGAAATGTATGGAAAGAAAGTGACTTTAAAATGGAGAAGTTAGAAATGTTGGAAAGAATAGATGACATTTTACCCAGAATTTCTACAAAAAAAGAAGAGATAATAGAATTATCGTAAATTTTGGTGACGATCACATATGACCAGGACCATGTGTGGCATGTCTACAAAGTCATTCTGATAATTCCAAACATATTATTTTATGTCTTTTTGTCTCACTGTTAAAAAAGATGCGGAGGCGTTAAAAAGGCATAACGATCTTGTTAATCCTGGCTCTTACAGTGTACACTCCTGAACCTGACAGTCAAGTCAAAACGTAAAACGTTTTGTTTTGTTCAATATGGAATGGTTTTAAAATGGATTACTTGACACGAAGCATTATAATATCTACAGTTCATCATCAGTAATCTAGCCACCAGGAATATAGGTGTGCCGCTATCCAACTAGTGTTTTACTGGACAGATTGCCTTGTTTTCTATACCAAATTGTCCCAGTAATTCAGATTTCTAACAACCCTGCCACACATTTGCTATGAACTGAGATGACCATGTTGTTAATGCTTCACTATATACAGAAACACCAGGATTAATTACTGAATATTGGGTAATTTTCGCTGCAGTTTAACTTTCACCTTTTTCGTCCTCCCCAATAAGGGCAATATTATCATGACAGTTAATATTTGTACATAACATACAATATACAGTAATTACATGTTAAGAGCGAAATTTACACTGGGCAAAGATGGACTTTGCCGCCAAATGGTGAATATTTGACTTGGCGAACGTTTCCCGGTACACAGTATTCTTTGCAAGATGATCTTAACCCATGCACCCTCGAAGTCACATTTGAACCTTACCAATGAAAGAGTGGGCATGGTCCAGTTAAGATAATCTTTTACCCATATTCTACATTGAGCTGGACTTATCATTTAGTCTGATGAAGTTGACAGAATGCAAATGATGCTAGTCACCAACGCATTTCTAGTTGTTTTACTGAAAGTACATGCACTGGAGTTCACGTGAGGATGGAACGGTTCAAAATGAAGTACCAGGTGCATGAGTGGCAGTGTTTGTTTCAACAAGATGGAACTTGAATCTTAAACGTGCAGCTTAAGAATAACCTGTGAATCATAGTCTGTGGACATAGATTTACTCTTAGTTTTACTAGGAGTAAATCAAGTGTAGGATAGCAGAATGGAGAGTTTCCAGTACATATGTTATATCTGAATTAAAATTGTTACACATAATTATACATATACATCAACATTTTACCGTGGCATTTAGAGATGTGCACGATCAATTGATGAAAATTAGATTAAATGAGAATTAGGTAATACATTTGTTCAAGTATATAATTTATGTGTCTACATAAAATAAATGCATTTTATTTATCTTTGAATGTGACTGTTGTTTTGTTTTGTTGACATTGGGCATTGTATCAGCATGTTCTATTTAATTTCAAACTTGCAGCAATTATGTTTGCTCAATGAGGAACCAAAGGGAGGATTCACAAATCAAATGTACCCCTTTAAACACAGGGCTTGAAAAGATGAAATGTTATCATGTGGGCTATTTTATCTCGACTGAACCTTTCATACTGTGAACATCATGCACAGGTAACACTACTGTAAATTGTATTTCTTAGCATGTCCGTGCCCTGTGCTTGGGGACTTAGAGGTGTCCAAATTAGGTCTGCTACACCCTTTGCAGCATTTAGGATCTTTGTGTTTTCTCTTTTTCCTCTTAGCAGACTTTTTTCCAGGCACCTTCCTTGGCAAAATGTCGTTTTTAACTTATCAAGATCTGGAGTTTTGAATGGGTCTATGTTTACTGATTCACAGTCTCAAGCCCACGATTTTCAAGGGAGTTAACTCTTTCTTCCTTGAAACATCAATATTTCAGAATCTAGAAAATGTGCGTTGCGGTTATCACCACTAGACAAGATATGAACAAAATCTGACATACAAACAAGCATGTGATTTAGAAAGAGAATCA